GTCGGTTCGTTCGTCCGTCCGTCCGTCCGTCCGGCGTCCACAATTGCTTGTGGACGCTCTAGAGGCTAAAGTTAATATCCGATTGACTTTAAATTTATACACAGTGTTAAAGGTCATGAGACAAAAAAGCCTATTGATTTTCAGCGATTTCCAATAATTACTGCCAGAGTTATGGCCCTTGATCACTTCAAAAAATTTTGTGGACGCTCGTCGCCCCCGTCCGTCCATCCATCCATCCATCCGTCCATCCATCCGTCCGTCCGTCCGTCCGTCCGGCGTCCACAATTGCTTGTGGACGCTGTAGAGGCCAAAGTTAATATCCGATTGGCTTTAAATTCATACACAGTGTTTAAGGTCATGAGACGAAAAATCCTTTTGATTTTTAGCAATTTCCGATAATTACTGCCAGAGTTATGGCCCTTGATCACTTTGAAAAATCTTGTGGACGTTCAAGAGGCCAAAGTTAATATCCGATTGACTTTAAATTTATAATCAGATTTTAGTGTATTATAAATGTTTCATTACCGAAAATTAAAAATATGCGACAACTCTTGTTGACTGCCCGGACGATTTAGCTGCTGTGGGCGTATGTTTCGTTGCCTGGCAACCTATCTTTAAAGGTATTTTAGGGGCCTGGCCCTGATAATATTTTCCATTTTCTTTTTTACTCCCTCTTAACTGTCATTATTAATTATTGAGATTTCTGGATGAGTGTCAGCCAGTGCCTGCCTAGCCTACATGTAGCTGAGTTATAGGTGTGGATGTGTGGAAATGAACCTGAAATGCAATCTGGTAAGTAAATAGACTACAAAGATGGTTTTACATTAACACTCTTATTTTATTGAAATGCTTCAACTCATAACAAATGTTAGGGTGACCCATGCACTCTACAGAAAGTTGGTCTCGACATGGCTAATGTGCACGCTTCAGTGGTTGTCTCGAACTACCAGCGGTGGACTGTATGATACTATAAATAGCCATGGCACGTGCAATTCTCTACAAATCTATCAACTATTACAGCCGTAAAAAATCTATTGTTGACGATTTTGAATAGCAGTAAAATATAGCTTCTTGGTTATTACAGCAGCTTTAGAAATTACGTTCGTTTTATTTTTTAAATTGCTTTATCATTAACTGTACCGTTAAGAGCGGCATCTTTCGTTAGCAGGAACATGATACTAGCAGTAGTTTCATTTTACTTTTACAAGCTTCTTAAAACAATTGTTGAGCTAGGTAACGTGCGTTTTTCTAAATTCAATTTCTTATTCCAGCTTTCTGTTATGTTTCGTAAAAAGGTAGTCTTGATTATCCCGACCTGTCAATCAGATGTAGAATGGTCGGTAGACTGGTTAAGCGAGACTAATTTCAAAACAAGGGCCTTAACCTGTCGTTTACTCAAAAGTGTCTGGATGTTATTGACGAAACTTGGAACAACTTTCAGTCTATTATTTATAGATCATTAAATGGTCATAGCTTATTAAGTACAACATGATCGTTTATTTAGTGACTATAATTGTATGAAACTGATTTAAGGCTTGGTATATATATAAATATTGTGGCGTAATTGTCGAGATATTTGGAGATATTTATTTATGGTGGGTCACCCTACAAATGTATAGGTTTAAATTTTGAATTTATAATTTGTGATAATTTGCCCTTTCTATTTCAGGTCTTAGAATACTCTGAAGATGCCACGTACTGGGAAATACTGCAGACAGACAGGCATAAGGATCGAAGACCTGGAAAATGAAAAATTCACAACGTTACCAGAAAAACTCTTAACAAATGGTGTAGTCTTAGAACTTTACGCTTACTGTCGAATCCGCCACATAAGTGAGGAAGTGTTGCTGAAGTGGATTATTGGAATTTGCCCTGAGTCTGCAGATTACCGAAAGTGAAGGTGGCAAGGTCTTGCGGCAGATACAAGTTCTTCATGGCCGGCGAGACTTCCTTAGGAAACGGAAGGCGGACTCAGCACTTTTTAAGGACCTAGAAGGATGTCCTTTTGCTTTTCCATCTCACCCTGCGCCTTCAGAATCATTATCAGAATGTCATCCGATGTCATCAATTGACATCAGTGCCGCGTCGCATCTTGACTTCATGCAACCTGTGGGATCAGTCATTCTTGAAACGCTTCCATTACTATCAGATTCATTTTTGGAGGCAGTGTTAATTCCATCTGATTCTGATAACTTTGGCCTCGACGCATCCTTTTCCATTTCCCAAGGAGTTTCCAGCACCCATGTCCATGGGAAGAATACCCACCGGATGATTTTGCACTATCTGAGAACTTAATCCCTTAGACATATAGTCTCGGTCACCCAGAACCTCCTAGTCTTCAACATACGGAGGGTCTGGGAAGGTTGTCAATATTTGACGTGAAGTCCATTGCCCATGCGTAACCGGGAGTTTGGTTTTTAATGTGGTTGATTATCCTGTCTCTTTAGCCAAGTCAAGTAAGAGTTGCGCCCCTTCCCACAATAAATCCCATAATTCTTGCATTAATATAAACAAACATGAATTGTTACGACGAATTAGGATTAATTTTAAAAGCATAGATATGGCCCATGAAGAGAGAAATTTTACAATAAAAAATTAAGAGTGTTAGATATTGAACTCGCATGCAATCAAATGGATTTTTTGAAATGACATTCTTAAATTAATTTCATGGGCGTAAACATTTTGTTTTAAGAGGAGTTACCTCCCTTAGACATCGTTTATGATAATGTGAAAGACCGGATTATCTAGCCAATTTTTCTCAAATGTTGACAACCTGTCCAGACTAATATTCGTAGAGACTGGATGATAGAGACTATTAGACATACAGACGGTAAAGGGTTAAACGGATGTAAATGTGTCCTAGTTATGTAGTACTGGCCTTTTTTATAGACTCGCCTCTTGAAGACCTTTAAAATGATACCCTACATGATATACTTACAGTGAAATTGCACTTTGCCGTCTACGGTCATCTTGGATTCAGTGTGTAGGGATGGTAAAGGCTTAAAATGGATGATATGTCTTACAGTTGAGTAGTAGAGGCCTTTTATATATCCAGATACACTCTACTCTTCAAGACCTTTAAAATGATACCCTACATGACATAATATTGGAAAATAACATTTTTCGGGTGGCGATCATATTGGATTTGGCCTGTGGCGCCCCCTCTACAGTCGGCGGTGATAAAATCGGAGTTGCTCATCGGAAAGGGCATGTTCAAATTAGGTTAGGTGGCGATTCATATCACTTTATTATGAAAGATAAAGAAATGGTAGTGAAAAGATGAACAAAAAAACACCTGTAATTGTCTAAAGATTTTAATTGGGCGACTCTATTGTTTTTACCAGTAAACCATGTCCGAATGGGGAAAACGATTAAAATGCCGCAGAATACGTACAGTTTGTCGTGTTCTTTCCAATGATATAAAATTCAATTTTACAAAGTAGAAATTATATTACTATAAATAACATTGAAAAGTCAGTTCCACTGAAATTATGACTTTTCTCTGTCATAATGGTAAAATAACGTGAACAAGTATTCCCTAATAATTTTTTTTTTAAAATAAAACACAAATATAGTCCCTCACGTTGGCAGCAGTGTTCAAAGTAAATGTAAATATAACTTTTAAAAAGAAATATCACACCAAGTGACAGTCACTTCATCGCTATCGGCATTTTAACATTTCTGCCTTTCTTTGGATATATGATATGGTCGTCTTCTTTGCTTTATTGCTTCGACAATGTAATATTCCTCTATGTAGCTTGTATTAAATCCCAAAAGTTTTGATTCAATTTAGTTTTCCAAAGTCTAGAATTATTAGCTGTAAGTTTTGTGTTATCGTCTGTTTGAAAGCGTACCGTATCCAAGATGGCGGCGACACGCTTGATCTCGGCTTGTATCCGTATTCTTCGCATCATAACGTCAAAAAAAATAACAAATAGTTAATTTCTTCGACATTATCATATTCTACGATATGCCTGGCAGTAAATCATAAAAAATCTGATTCCATTTCACTCTTCATATCATAAAAGTATTAGCCGTAAGTGACAACGTGAAAATATTGGAATACTGCCAAAGTCATTGACACGGTGTGAATTTTCACCTCTGACCTATTACGTAAATACTGGAAGATCCTTTGTTGAAATGTATGTTTTTTATTCGATAATTGGCGAATATAACATTCCTTGCCATTGGGTGCTTTATTTTTATTACTCAATCACCATTAATTTATGAAATAAACACAATAGAAATCTGTTGATTGATCTGGCGCTTTTGTTCGCTAATGCCGTTGCAAAGAATGATGGGTCCGCGACTCCGCGAGTTGATTTGCTACCTTGAGTCACTTGGTGCGAGTTGTTTCGCTATTGTCAAAAATGGGTTAAGGTCATGAGACGAAGAAGCCTATTGATTTTCATCAATTACTACCAGAATTTAAATTTATACGCAGTGTTTGAGGTCATGAGATGAAGAATCCTATTGATTTTCAATGATTTCCAATAATTACTGCCAAAGTTATGTCCCTTGATCACTTTGAAAAATCTTGTGACGCTCTAGAGGCTAAAGTTAATATCGGATTGACTTCAGATTGATACACAGAGTTTAAGGTCTTGAAACGAATAAGTATATTGATTTTCAATGAATTTTGATAACTTGAACAGCTAAATCCATGATATTAAATATTTCGTATGCTAAACGTTAGCATGGGGCAGAAATTTATAAAAACCAAACAAATTCTAATGATTTTCTGATAATTACTTAATGAGTTGCTACTCTATCAGATTTTAGTGTATTATACATGTTTCATTACTGAAAAAGTAAAAGTATGCGACAACTCTTGACTGGCCGGACGATTTAGCTGCTGTGGGCGTATGTTTTGTTGCCTGACAAGTGACAACCTATCTTTGTTTTTAGCTTGTTCTCTATCCATCTCTTGCAAAATGTGGGCTTATCCTGCCTGTCAGTCGCTGGTTTGCATTTTGAAAAAAGTAGTATTTGTATTCTAGTTAGAAAGGGAAGAAGAAATACAGGTAATGTCAGCAGATATAAACAGTGAAACAGAAAGTGAACGAGACGCTAAATTTTTAAAGGTAAGTTAAATTTAGTTAACAGCAATTTAAAGAGCTCATAAAAGTGGATTGAACCTGACACCAGGGTTAACATTACACTATTCTGATTAGAATTATTTGATATATGAGTTTTATGACTGTTATTATGTCCGGACATCTGTTAACATTATGTTTGGAGGTCGGGTGTTCAATCCCTGCATTGGCCGAGAAAGTTCATCCATATTTTCCGGCGTGGTTCCCCCTTGTCAGTGATGCAGGATGGAGGGCCTGATAAGGACAACTGTCTAGTCATTCGGATGAGACGAAAACTGAGGTCCTGTGTACACATTGCGGAAGTAAAAGAACCCTTGACAGTTGGAATTCGATATAAGGGTAGGCCGTAGTGCTGCTGTCCGGGCAAAATTTCCCACATAGAACACTGTATGGCGTATGCCTGTCTTCATTAGCCCAGTTTGGAGCAGAACAGTAGAACGTTAAACCCCATTTTATTTCATTTCATTTCACATTATGTTTGTGGACACTACAAGCCCAAATTTGTGCCTGATTTTGATGGAATAGAAATATAGGTGTATATCGATAAAATCTTGTTTCCTTAATATATTTGACTGTAACTTCATGGAATATTTCCCTTGATTGTACAAAACATCAAGTGGATGTATATTGTCGTTGCCCCTGTCCGTCCGTTCACATTTTGTTTGTGAACACTCTACGTGTCACAATTTTTGATGAAACTTAAAATGTATGTTTATAACCCAAAGATCGTTGATGATCTCTATTATTTTTGGTGCATGCCCGACACCCAGGGGCAGAGCCAAGCCCATTTCTTGTATTTGTTGTTTGTCGTCTACAGGCCGCATTTCTTAATGTATCATCTTGAAACTTTGCATACTTATTCTTTGTGCCCTAAGGAACATCCCAATTGTTTGGGATGCATGCCCAATCCCCAGGGGCAGAACCACGCCCATTTTCTTTTTGTGTCTCTGTGTGTCACCTACAGGCCACAATTCTTAATCGGTCGTCTTGACAAAATTTCATATGAATTCCTTATACTCTAAGGATGATCCCTATTGTTTTTGGTGCAAGCCCCACCCCCAGTGACAGAGCCATGCTCATTTCTTGGGCTGACCTTAAAAATATCTTTGTTTCACCAAACCCGACCCACAATCGAGGAGAAGGGTCGGTAGGTCGGTTTTTTTTTTAGAAGTCAGAGAAATCAATACAGAAAACTTATTACTGTAGCTGTATAAGTTTGGGTCTGACGTAAAAAGTAACGAATTTAAGAGCTAATTTGACAGCTTGATAATTTTCCAGGTGGAAACATTTGCCTTCTTTATTGGCAAACAAATCAATGACATCGGGATTTTTCGTGATGCACGACTCGCACACGATTTGCCACGAACTTGAAGTGTGAAACTCCTTCAACACGTTTTTAACGATCGTGTGGGTTGTGCCTTCATTTTTCTCAAAAACAGATATTGAAAATATCGTCGTCATGTTTAAAACTACGCACCACAGACATAGAGGCAGAATCATTTCAAGGGAATGGACGTGCTTTCGTCTGCAACCATTTTGTTGTGAAGCGACACCTATGACGCTTTCGTCTTGATCAACCAGTTTCAATAATGAATCAAACCATAGCCATAGTGAAGGGAAATAACTCTCGTGATATATTTCAGGTTGACACACAAAATAAAATAAAAAGATTGTGGAAAAGTGCAATAAAATAATTTAAGTCGGGGGTGGTTTTAGTTAGTTGGTCGCGTTAGGCGAAACAAAGATATTTTTAAGGTCAGCCTTGTATTTATTTGTTTGTCATATACAGACTGCATTTCTTAAGTATCACCTTGAAACTTTGCATCCTTATTCCTTCTATCCTAAGGAACATCTAAGGATGTAACAGTTCAAAAATTCTTGAACCGGTTAACTGGTCGTTAAAAACCCAACCGTAACCGGTTAACCCATAAAAATTTCCTATCATAAGATTAATTATGAAATCAATATTTGAAAGCATACCTTTGGATTTTTATTCTCCCACATTTGCTTGTGGACGCTCTAGAGGCTAAAGTTAAAGTTGCAATTGCAAATTTTCAAGTTATATTTTTAAAATGTATTAAAATAAAGCCTTAAAATTAAAATAGATGGTACCCATAAACAGTCCTACCTTGTTAAAGAATAATCCTATTAATCCTATAATTCGCTATTGCCAGCTTAGAAAATGGCAAAAATATCAATTTTAACTTCAAATTTCAACGTTGGAAAATGGCTGCCCCATGTTGTCAATAGCAAAACAGGGGAGGTAATTGTGTTATTTCCCGTCTCATAGATTTTTAAGGGTGGGAAATAATGCCCATGATCGTATAATAGTGATTTGATAACCTATTGAGCAAAAGACATAGAAATAATTATGTTTTAACTTTCTTAGAAAATTTAAAATTCTCGCTTTAATATCCGATTGACTTTAAATTTATATACAGTGTTTAAGGCCATGAAACGAAGAAGCCTATTGATTTTCAGTGATTTCCGATAATTATGGCCAGAGTTATGGCCCTTGATCACTTCAAAAAATCTTGTGGACGCTCTAGAGGCCAAAATTAATATCCGATTGACTTTAAATTTATACACAGGGCTTAAGGTCATGAGACGAAGAAGTCTATTGATTTTCAGCGATTTACGATAATTACTGCCAGAGTTATGGCCCTTGATCACTTTGAAAAATCTTGTGGACACTCTAGAGGCTAAAGTTTATATCCGATTGACTTTAAATTTATACACATTGTTTAAGGTCATGAGATGAAGTCTTTTCATTTTCAGTGATTTTCGATATTTACTGCCAGAGTTATGGCCCTTGATCACTTTGAAAAATCTTGTGGACGCTTTCACTGTAACCCAGGTATCGTTTAATCTTGTGTATCTAGCACTAATTTCTTTCACATTCGTTTAATATCAAATCTTTGTTTAAAAATTTATAAGAACTGTTTAAAATCACCATAAATCGTTTAATTTGTACTTCTGTCCAGTTTAAAGCTGACCATTCAATTTTGATAATGTGTCCAGTTTACAAGTGTTAAACGAATGTGAAAGAAATAAGTGCTAGAAACACTAGATTAAACGATACCTGGGTTACAGTGTCTAGAGGCTAAAGTCAATATCCAATTGACTTGAAATTTATACACAGTGTTTAAGGTCATGAGACAAAGAAGTCTATTCATTTTCAGTGATTATCGATAATTACTGTCACAGTTATGGCCCTTGATCACTTTGAAAAATCTTGTGACGCTCTAGAGGCTTATGTTATCATCCGATTGACTTCAGATTGATACACAGAGTTTAAGGTCTTGAAATGAACAAGTATATTGATTTTCAATGAATTTTGATAACTTGAACAGCTAAATCCATGATATTAAATATTTCGTATACTAAACGTTAGCATGGGGCAGAAATTTCTAAAAACCAAACAAATTCTAATGATTTTCTGATAATTACTTAATGAGTTGTTACTCTTATAATTAGATTTTAGTGTATTATAAATGTTTCATTACTGAAAAAGTAAAAATGTGCGACAACTCTAGTTGACTGCCCGGACGATTTAGCTGCTGTGGGCGTATGTTTCGTTGCCTGGCAACCTATCTTTAAATATAAAATAAGTTTGATTATTCAACATCAGCTAATTCCAAAGAATTTAGTACACGTGTTGCTATCACAAGCCATGCTGTATCGTATGGTACCAATGACCTGTATGTCAACTTTGACCCCATAGCATCGCGCACTCGAGTGATAATATAAACAATTTTACAATTATATCCTCTCTATTTTAATATTATTTCATTACATCATACTTGTGTCATTTTGAGACTTTGTTTGTGGAGTGATGAGGTTAATACTGTAAAATAATTAATTTGTCAATCAGTTGAGGCTATTTAATGCTTGGCAGTGAGTGCTAATAACGTACACAAATGTCAAAACTTTAAGCGGGAATTTAAAGACGTCAACTTCCCGAGACTTATTACTAATGACAAGTGCTATTTTAAATATTTATGTGGTCTTAGTGAAAGAAAACAATGTTGTGGCTATCTTTCCTGGGTTTAAAGGTCGGGTATCATATGAGAACAAATACCGATCAGTAATTTTTTAACCTGTGCGCGAACTGTGACCGGTTAACCAAGTGACTGTTTACATCCTTAGGAACATCCCTATTGTTTGTGGTGAATGCATACACCCCAGGAGCAGTCTGTGTGTCACTTACAAACCACAATGCTTAATCGATCATTTTGAAAACTTTTTTATACTTATTCCTTATACCCTAAGGCTGACCTCTATTATTTTTGGTGCATGCCCGACTACATGTGCCAGAGCCACGCCCAATGTTTGTGCATCTTGTTTCGTCTACAGGCCGCAATTCTTAACAGATTCTTTTGAAACTTTGCATACCTATTCCTTATACCCTAAGGATCACTCCTATTATTTTTTTGTGATTGCCCAAGGGCCAATCCACACCCATATTTTCTTTATGTCTCTGTCTGTTGCCTACAGATCACGATTCTTAATTAATGGATGGTCTTTAAACTTGGACGGTTTATTCCTTATAGTCTAAGTACAACTGCATGTCCCGACCCCCAGGGGCAGAGCTACACCCACATTTTTATGTGGATGTACGTATATTGTTGTCGCCCCTGTCCGTCCGTACACAATTGTTTGTGAACACTCTAATGGTCACAATTTTTATCCGATTTCAATGAAACTTGAAATATAGGTTTATCACCCCAAGATCTTGGTTCCTTTCGATATTGGCATGTATCGGACTGTAACTTCATGGATTATTGACCTTGATTGTACCAAAAATCACGTTTTTAGCTTGTGAACACTATAGAGGTCACAATTTTTATCCGATGTGGTTTAAACTTGAAATATATGTTTATAACCCACAGATCTTGGTTCCTTTCGATATTCGCGCATATCAGACCATAACTTCCTAAAGTATGGCCCCTGATTGTATGAAAAATCACGTTTTTAGCTTGTGAACC